ACGTTAAAAGTCCTGATCGCACTAATAAATCCCGAAACGATTATACTTGAAAAGATAATATCGAACCTAAAAAAGCTAAAAGAGTCATAACTTATTCAATTCACGAAAGCGAAGAGATAATATCCAAAAATGAGAAACAGAAACTGGGCTAATAAGTAGAGCAGACACTAAAATAAGGAGTAAAAATATGTTCAGGAGATCTGAACACAGATCGTAAATTAAAAGGTTTAGAATGTTAACATAAAGAAGACCCTCCCTAAAATAATGCTAATATAATGGTTCCGGGAGGGAATATCTTTCCGAAAAGAAAGTGGCTTAGTCTGGATACTACATATTTATATGTTAGGGAATTATATTAGGACTTTTTATTTCATTTAGATTAATGATGAAAAAATGCTATGATGATACACTCAACCTACATATAGTATTCAACAACTCTAAACAGTAAGATTGAAAACTGATTTTTGATATGTTAGAAACATGCGGTACCACAAATAAATATATATAAGGATCTGTAGGAATACTTAAAAACAAAGCAGCTGTAGCCTTGACACATTATGTACGAAAATTACTTTAATAGACTTAGCAGTAAGATTATGTAAAACACCATTCCGCACTATTTTAAATCACCCTGTTTTTTTCATGCGAAGTGAAGGATATATACTAAAAAAACTAGTGCAAGCCTTTGCACATAGAAATGTATTTATTCGGTTAAATAATTCAATTAAAGTAGTCAAATCATGAATTAGCTTAAAAATTTACCATGAAAAAATGAAATATGTGATAATTTTAAAAGTTAGCGTAAAACAATTCACAGAAAATATTCATCACATATAATGACTTTAAATATGAAGGCCTACCAAACTTCTCATAATGGGGCTTAGCATTGAAACTGCTACCTGAATATACCCCTTGGTCAGTATTTCTCTGACAAGGGGAATAGTATTATGAGGGTGTAAATATTTTACTATAAAAAGTGAGGTTTATACGGATTTTGTTTTGACGCGGACATGATGCCCAAAGGATGCCAAGAGAATCTGGTAGGAGGAATATGCTGAGGATTTAAAGAAAGCTCGTATAAGAAAAATGTTGAATGTCCAAATTTTACTTATGATGTAAATATAGCAATATCAAAAATAGCTCCTTGGTGCGCCAATAAATTTCACAGAATTGCAGACAGTAATAAGAAACAATGAATAATTGCTTTAATTATATTGGTTTTACTGAAAACAATAGTTCCTAGTCCCTTGAATTTCGGTTTAGCGTAAAGTCTTTTGTACGTTTACACTTAATTTAATTAAGTGTTTCAATTAGTGATTATCTTTAGCACATATTATTCTATTAAATGTTGGAATTATTTAAATTTTATTTTTCGTCGTAATCAAAAAAGTTTGTTATTATATTGTATAGAGGACGTTTTACGTGATATAATATTTAAAATTTTTATTTTATTATTCATTTTATATTTATTATAAAGCTATTATAGTTATTTTCTTATTCTTGGAACTTGGAACTTGAAAATAAGGTTAATGTATTTTTAAAAGGAAGAAAAGGTTTTAGAATACTTTTACTGAATTGAGTCTGAATAATTCTATCAGATTTAGTTGCTGTTTTTGGTCAACTTCTTGAGTAATGTACTGACCCTTGTTATAAATATCAGAGTATTGTGAGCATAGTTTCCATTTTTCGATACAATTCATTTTAAATACAGATGTGACAGTCAAAAAGAAGATATGTATTTGAGATGTATTTGACTTTTGACAGAGTTAATCTTAAACATTTTGTTGTGGGAATGCTAAATAAAAAGTACAGTCGGCTTGATGGTGATTCATTATACAGATAATTTGATTTAAAACCAAATGTTTTATTTACAGCTTATTTACAAGTTTATTCAGAGATTGTCATGAGCCTTTGTTTGATTTTTGTTTCTAATTATTCTATACACTCCTGTTTATTTTCAAATAATTTTATTCAATTTTTATCAATATTTGTAGTAAAAACCAATTTTTGTTATTCGCTCTCGATGACGTTGGATCTTAACATTTTTTTCTGATAATAAACAAATGTGATCGAATGTATATTATACTATTTTAATTTATTATTATTTTTATTTAATAAAGTTATACAAAATATTAATATTATAAAATTATCTAATATATTTATATATATGCATATATATATATATATATATATATATTGATTTTATTAAATTATATAGTATTGACATATAGTAGCAATTCATAAAATTGATAATTTTTGGTTATTGTTTTACAAATCATTCTACGGTATCTTTGAAATAACTATAGCTTGCTCGAATTATGGTGTATTATTTTTTAACTTTTTAAAAAAGTTGTGTGTCATTCGAAAAATGTGATAAATAAATAAAATTGTTGATCATTAAGACAATATAATGTAATTATATAATGTAATTTATTGGTTCCTGATAACTTTTTTTTATATTAAATAAATATTATTTTATTTTTATGATATCCTTTTATTCTCATATATATATATATATTTTCTTCAGTTTTTTTTACTTTTATATTGATGCTAATTTAATTTAATAATTTATTAGTCATTAATCTGTTTTATTTTTTTATGTTGCACAATTTTTATTATTTAATTATTAATCTCGTAAACGCTTTTTATTTAATTTAACTATTATTATCTTATCCTGTTATTACATATCTTTTATAAAGTTTAAAATATTTTGAGGTATATTTTAATAATCACCAACTATGAATTTCATATACCATACATGTATCACTTTTAAACAATTGCAACAATTCGTTTTTTATATATGTACTATTACATAAAGTGTACAACATATTATTTATGTAATATATGCATTGTTATTCCATATATATATAAAATTTAAACAAGTCACTATGGAATTTAAAATATTTGTAACAAAATCACGAAATTCAACATTATAGACTATTAAATGATTGAAATCAATAGATTTTATGTAATGCAATATAATTTATATAATTTAGTTTTAATGTTATTTATAAATTGCAACAAAAATCATACAATAATGCACAGAACTAGGTCGTAGCTTCTGTTTCTAACTAGTTATCTCAAGAGCAACTTTAAAGTTCCTTCGAGCTACCAATTCTAAGCAACTCAACTCCTTTATTTATATTAAAGTTTAATTACATTAAAACTCGTGACTGATAGACACATTCATTAAGGAAATATATATTACTTAGAACATGAGAATCAAAGTTAAAAAATCTACCAGTCAAAAGAAAAGAACAATTTTTGATTTAAAGATTTATATTTGGGATGTCCAGTAAACTCATTTAAAGTACAGTAATATTTCTTATAATTCATAAATCTATTTTGAAAGGGAAATCAAATGAAGGTAATACTAGATATTCAATACCAGATATTGAAAATTAATTATATGTAAACTAATTATTGTAAAAAGGTGCATTTACTTAGTTTCGAAGCAGATAGGAGCAGTTTGTAATGACAGTTCTGGTAATAATTACAGTACTTTAAAAAATTTCGTAGACAATTAGACAATTAGTCTTATTAGTATTAATGGGAAATACTAGGTGACTTAGGCACCTTTCTGTGATAATTAGTTCAAATGTTTTAAAATTTATGTATGAATAAGCTTCATAAAAGCCTTTGCATATTATAAATATATAGAAAACAGTATGCTTCAAAATATCACCAAAATGTTTTTATATTTTGGAATTCATTTTAAAATTTTCTAATATCGTTGAGGAGTTCTGGATTTTGATTTTCCATCTTTTGCAACTTTGGATAACTTTGAACTATAAGTTATTGTTTTTTTTTTGTTTCGTTGTTATTTTACTTTTAGAAAGAAAATGTTAATTTTAACACATTTAAACATTGCTCGTGGCTGAATGCAAATTCTTTATGAAGAAACTTTTTGTACTTATGCAAAGTTATTTGTCTAAGATTTAATATTAAATGAGAACTAAGTGGAAATTTTTAAGTGTTGAACAAACTGAATAAATACAATTTATGGAAGAATTTATGGAAAAACATCAAACCAACATGAAAACTTAGCTCTTTGGTCCTTGCAGAAATGATGAAAAGCAAATGGACGAAAAAATGCAAAATGTTTGTTATGCCACAGAGTTCCGGTCTTGTTTAAATTGTTATTCTTAACCAAACAGTCTTTAGTCCTTTAGTACTTTAAATAGAACGGTGAAGCGCAAATACAGTCGTAAATTTTTACACTTCCTCACGCACCGATTTTGTTGTCCTTATTCTTTAATTTTATTACATTCATTCATATATTAATTTTTTATGCCCATTCGGAATATACAGAATATTTGGGGTGTTATACGCGTTAGCTTCTCTATGTTGTTGTTTTTTGTTTTTTTTTTGTGCTATTTTTTATTATTGCGAGTGTTATTATGTCTTTTATATTTGAGCTCCGAGTTCTTCCATTGTTTTGGGCCGCAGTATATTTGTCTACTTTGGGACATTTCTGTTACTGTTGTTGTATATTTGTTATTATTTTTGTTGGGTGGTGTGTTACTTATTACTTTTATATTTCTATGTTTTCTGTTTTTTAGATTTGTCATTCGTTTCACTTTTCACTTTTTATTGTTTGTCAAGACGCAGACATTTTGTCTGTGAATTTTTTTTATTGTCTTAATCCAACACAAATAAATTTTAGAGGAATAGACGTATGCTCATAAATTTGTACACAAATCTTATTGTTGCTATTTATATTAATATAAATATAATATTTTTATATATAAATGTAAAAGTAAAATTAAGTACTGAATATACAACACAAGAAATTTTCCCAATAAAACGATTTCATTTTATTTTTAGTCGCGTTGTTAAAACAAATTTATACGTTGTGACTTTTTAGTCAACAATAAAAATTTATTTTTCTACTCAGAAAATTTACAACGAAAATTAATTTTTTTTTTCATATTATATATTCGTCAATTTAAATTAATTTTTTTCTAATATTAAATTTATATTTCATTATTTAAACTTACTCTGCAATGCTTTTAGATAGTGGCCATCTCTCCATGGATGCCTGATACTTCATATTTTCGATTTGCTTCTTTAATGCGTCCCGATCCATATTTTGTAGAGCACTGGGATCCATGGCGGCTAAAATTTATCAACATACCACCCCTGTGGACGGAGGAAATATTTAATTTGTTATTTTATATCTGTGTTAGTGAGAAAAAAATAATATTTATTCGCTCTTACACGCTCAATCGCACTCACTCACTCATTCACTCACATACACTCCACGCACAAATCAAAATGCACTCAAAAGGATTGCTCTTTGCTTTCATTTTGTTTTTGTAAAGCTACTACCTTCCTGCAGTAGTAATTTGGCGCTTTGTGTTTTTTTGTTGCTTCTGACAGCACATGTTCAATGGTATGTATTGTGTTTTTAGCATAGTTGCATGCTTGCTTCATTGTTTTTATGTGCTCCATTTACAAAAATTCTTGGGAAATTTTTCTATATTTTCCAAAGAGGAAAAATTCCCTGTTCATTGAGAAAAATAGAAAACAAGGCAAATTCAAGCAGAAAGCATTGCAGTATTGAGCGCTGCGTGTATTTATTTATATTCGGCTTTATTATTTGGGGTAACATGTGCTTTGCTTTTTGACAGCTACAAGCACCGTCGCGTCAGCATTACTATGAGAAGATATATGTGCACAGCTACATTTGGTATTATGTGCGGATATATAACTTCCAAAAAAGTTTTGGTACCGGAACAAAAATCACTGCAGAATGAACTTAACTGTCATTCAATTAAATAAAATAATACACGTACGCTGATAGTAAACAATCTACCCAGCAGCCCGGAAAAGAAACTCTAACTCGTCAAATGTAAAAAAATATTTATTAAATATTACACGAATACTTAAAACACAGGACTTAACATTTGATACTTTCTCTCCTAATATTGTATAAGGATACTATAAATTAAGCAATAAATTTTTTAAGGTCATAGATGACGGGTATTTAATATATTTCAACCATTTACTTGATTAAAAATCAAATTTTTGAATAAATCATTTTTTACTATTACCATCTTTTCTATTCTAACATAGATTTCGTGTAATGAAACAGAAAAATTTCTAGTTTTGGAAATAAAGATATACAAATTTTTATATATATAAAGATATACAAATTTTTATATATATAAAGATATACTTTTTATACTAGAGTTATAAAAAGATTGGAGAGAAAATATATGTAATGTACATATGCTATGATGTAGCATATGTACAAATTCTATGTAAATTTGTATTAATAATAAACAGAGAAAACTTTGGTGAACCTATTTTAGTCTCCAGTGTCATAATGACGATAAAAACTAATAAATGTTAATCTTAATATATATATAAGTATTTTGATTTTATATATACTTATAATAATAGTGGATCTACTACTCCAATTTATATTTCAATATTAAACTTAAAATTAACAATATTTAGACAATACTTCATTATAAAACAGCAAACAAACTCAATGAGAATTATATTTAATTTTTCATTATTCTAGATAATATTTCACGTTAAAAAATTCTTAAGTAGTTCTTATTCTAAAGTAAAAGATGAAATATAATATATATTATAAAAGTTTGTATCCAATCTTTTTGTAACTTTAGTTATATAAATTTTGAATATTTTTATATCCAAATCTACAAATTCTTTTGTTTCATTATACGAAATCTATGTTAGAATAGAAAAGATGGTAATAGTAAAAAGTGATTTATTCAAAAATTTGATTTTCAATCAAGTAAATGGTTGGAATCTATAAAATACCTGTCATCTATGACCTTTGTAAAATTTTATTGCTTTATTTGTCCTTATATAATAATTGGAGAGAAAGTGTGATGTGTAATGTGAAAAGTGAGGAGCACAGATGCTTTTAATAAGTAAGTTCGAAGTATTATAATATTATATCATAAATATCATTTAATTATGGGCATGTACATTCTTTGAAGTACTACACATCCTAAAATCAATTTACTGTTGCCTGTTGCAGTGCAGTTGCTGCAGCGGTAGTTATTCGGTTATGGGTGCAGTTTCCCGTATGCGGAAGTCCAAATTTAAGTCATATTTTATGAAGGAATTGTAATAAAGTTATAAATAATTATTAGCTACAATGCAATAAAGATTTTTATATTCTTTATTGATATGTTCACAAAAATATATTTAATATACCTATATATCGTATACGCATATATTACATATTTAACCAAACATTATACTTGTATATAAAAGTATATGTATATACATTTATTGCAATGTAGCTAATAACTTCTTAATACTTTACTACAATTCCTATATACTTCAGTATATATCTTATAAACTGTTAGCAATTCTCTACAGCAATTGCTTAAGGAAAAATATGTATGGATGGTATAACAAATGCATCTTCCTAGCTTATCTCACACCTAACTGATGTTAAATTGTTACTTTCTAAATATACTCAATGAATCGATAATACTCTTTTTTTACTTTAACTACTTTTTTATGTCATTTAGTTGACTTATTTATCACATAATTGTGGGTAATAACTACTAATAATTTATTGTATTAGCGTATTTATGAACTCAGCGTTTATAAATAATAATAGTAAAAATTATTTTTGATTAAAAGGAAAATGTGTGATTATAATCACTCATGTTTTATTGTGTGTATGATACTTTTCTATTTAAATAATACTACAATTAAAAAATTAGAAATTAGAAGTTTGAATCAGTTTTTTTTATAATTATGATAACTTATTTTGTTATTAAATGAATTATTAAGCTATGCTTTTGAAAATAAAATAAAATTTGATTTTAACGTCAATATGACAGTAACGATAATTTTTACTTTAATAGAGACTCTGGTATTTAGTAGAAAGGTTTCAAAAAATAAGGAATCACAACAACAAAAATACTTTTTGTAATATTACACATAATGAAATAAAAAAAATAAAGGCAATAAATAATACCTCCAAAAAAAAAAAGCATTGAAATTAACCAATTTAAATTAAAAATAAAAATGTGATTAAATAATTCAATTATTCTACACCTGATTTATGATTTCGTTCTTATATAAGACAGCAAGTTAATTTGTTAATAAAAATTTTTACAGAAAATTAACAAAACTCCAAAAAATGTGCGAACATAAAAGTCAAGGACGGCTTGGGTCACTTAGCTAATGACCCTGACACGTTCAACCCTACGTACTTGTAGTCTCAACAAAATTATTTGGGAATTATTAAATACAAAAAATAATTCCAAGAGCACTGATGATGGGTATTTGACAATTCTCGAAACAGTTGTATGATCAGCCAAAAATACAGCTAATTAAAATAATATAAAAATAATATTTGTTGTTATTGTTTACTAATAAATGGATAATACAATAAATAAAATGTTTTTAATTGTGACTAGGAAAGTAATTTGTCACATAACATAGAATTTATAAAACATGTTCACGTGGAACTGAACCAAGAAGCAATAAAAAGAAAATATTTTCAGCAGAAGGAAAACTGAAACCAAATCGATATAATGTTAGTTATAAAATGTATAGCTAAACTCAAGCAAAATGTAGCTCATATATGAGCAAATTATGCCAGCAGAAATTTTTAACCCAAAGCATGAGAGACTTAAACACCCTGAATTGAAAGAACGCAGAATCTACTCGCCGCTTAACCATTATTGCATTGCTCTGCGGTATTTTAAAAACTCAAACAATAACAAAAAGAATAGAATACATAGTTACCAGGTATCAAAAATATTTTTTATTTATAATTATTTTAAATTACAAAAATAAGTTTTTAGACATTATGACATTAAGAACGCCTGTTGATAACAGTGAAACAAACTTTTTGTTGCAGTGCTAAATGTTTTTTTTTTCATTTTCAATTTAATAACATATAACATTCTCTTCTAATAGCTAACATTTATATTCTGTTCTATTATATATTGAAAAAAAGTAACGGAAAAAAGCTAAAAGAAAGGCAGTAGTTTTTCATTTCGGATTTTCGCACTAAGAAAGTTGTAGATATTACAAGTACTTGACAAGTATGTAAGTTTTTTATTGAATACTTAAATATTTAGTTATTTTAAGACTACAATGATTATTATTGTGGCAACTAATTAACCGAATATAACTCAATAGTAATTACCTAATATACATATTTAGTTTTTTCATGAAAATGTTTAAACAGCATTTCTAAACAGGATCGGTTTAAAGTATTTGATTTACTGATTTACACTAACTTGCATATGCACAGTTAAACAAAGTTAAGGATTTTTAACAAACAAATAATCGTACATATCACTTTTCTGATCATTTAATATGGTATCAAGGGGAATAGTTTTCACTGTAACAGTCAATTCCAAGTTATACATAATGATAAGCGACTTCAAGTATCCCAACAAGTGTAAATGGCATCGGCTGACATCATCTTGATGGTCTGATAACAAAAAAAAACTCTTTGTCATTAAATTTTTTCTTTTAGAGCTGATCAAATTGTACACAACATGATATCGTCTTATTGAAACCAAAAGCCTTCTAGAATATACTCATGCACTTTTGAAAAACAAAATTCATAAAATATGATTGGATATCGAATGTCATTGAAAGAGATGCCTATATTTTTTCTTTTTTAAAAATTGTGGTACAAATCGCATCGACCAGAGTACCTATAGGGATATATAGGTGACTGATAGAACACTTTTGTATTTTTGAAGCATTGACTGTGACAATTTGATTTGAAATTCCAAATTTGTGTTAAAAAATCTACTTAGATATAAATCAGCAATATTACATTTAAAAATTTTGTGGTAAGACGTATTTTAGATGTTTTAAGCATTCATTTACCCATTAACTAAATGTTACCACATTAAAAGAATCAAGTATTGAACACACTCTCTTCATGAAAACATTAAGATATGGATATTTTTGTAACATCTTATTTGGCTTTATGCAACATATTTAAGGTACTCTTTATTAGCTTATAGTTATCAGCTCCTTTAATTTTTAGTGAGTATTGTAACAAGACAATAAAACAGAATTAAATCAGCCAAAAGAAGATCATTTGATAAATTGGATTAAAAATATGAAATAATTTAATATATATATTATTATTGCAATATTTAATATAAATA